CACACACACACACACACACACACAGCCTCACCTATAAAATGCCTCTGCACCTGCTCCACCAAAGCAAGCACCCCCCCCCCTGACACTAACACACTGTACAGTAGACGATGTTGTAGCAGAGACATCAGACTTAATCTTATCTACCTCGAGGATAATGAGATGGAAACGTTATCACATGATTTTTGACACTGAATTCTCCCCTGTTTCCCTGGTCCAGAATCAAATCTATCAACATTAGCAGCTGTGGTCAGATTAGGTGTGTGTTGATGAAGGATTAAGATAAGGAGGAGTGTGTGAGGCCGGCGGCTCAGCTCTCCACGCGGGGACGGCTCGTCTTAATGGGACCGTGGGTCTTATCAGAGGAATCTAAAGAGCTCCCTGAAGTTCACCTCGGTTTAAGCGCAGGCTTTCACATGACATTTAGATAGCCCACTGATGTACTCTGTGGTGAGCCCCCTATTCACTTTCACAACAGTGAGGATCATGGAGAAAGAGTGTTTTATCTTGTTCAGAGAGATGATGAGTCAACAGTTCATCAAATCCCTGAGGAACAGTAGGAGGAATTTATCTGCACTGTATTTACAGGCAAATACACCTGCTTTCTCAAATACTTTACTTACGTAAAAGTACAAATAAATAAACACAAATTTGCTCAAGTAAAAGTACCACATTAAGGTTTTTACATGAGTAAAAGTTACTGCTTAAAAGCAGAGGTGGGAGGTAACAAAGTACAAATACTTTGTTAACTTAAGTAGATTTTTCAGTTATCTTTAATTGAGTATTAGGTTTTTGCGACAATGTTCTTCTTTTAATAATTAAGAATACTTCATACAATACATTGTGATCTTTTATTTTATTCGAAGTATGAGTGGTTCAAGTCAAGGAGCCTTCAAACTATATTAACGTGACATGAGTCTCAGTTTTCTTTGCACAGATACAGCCAGTATAAAAAAAAAGCATTTTTACTGACAGATACATGATAAATGTTAAATGATACTCAAGTAGCAAAGCAAATGTACTATCTTACATCACACCATTGCTTTCTTGCTCAGAGATACCACTCTCCTGTCTGTCCATTAAACATGTAGCTGGAGCCAGCAGCATGTTAGCTTAGCATGGCACAAAGACAGGAAACAGGGGCGGAAAGCTAGACTGGCCCAAAGATAACAAAATTAACCCACACGCTAATTTAGATGCCGTATCTTGTTTGTTTAATCTCCACAAAAAGTGTAAAAATGACACTGTGTGATTTTTCAGGGGTGAACATTTCTTAGAGGTCTGGCGTGGAGACGTTTTTTTTATCCAATATGCTGCACAATTACTTTAAAGCTACACTGAATGAAGAATGAAGTGTTTGTGTGTCAAAAAACCCTCCACAGCGGACTCCTGCCTGTTTGTGCCCGACACAGACAGACATGCTTATCCAGGCTGAGTGTAAGTGCTCCGTGGTCAAGAGGGCAGGGCTGGTTGTGGTGGAGTACATGGTCAGAGGAGGAGAAGGAGGAGGGAGGGGACAGGAGGCGTGGAGAGGTGATGGGGGTCTGCGGTTGTGGCCTGGGATTGATGACTCCGTCGCAGGTCGCGGAGAAGGAGCCCACCCGTGTGCCGCAGCCCCCCAACATCAAACATGCCGTATTACGTTGATATATGGAGATGGGCCGGGCAGCACTTTCAACTGATGCAGGCCAGGTCCACCAGAGGATTTATCTCCTCACAAGATTAAAGGGGGCCAAGGCGTCTGCTAAACAAAGGCTAAATCTGGGGGTCAGCCCAGGTCCCACACGAACAGATTTACACTGAGATGACCTTCACATCACAGTCAGACCCAAAAGAAGAAGAAGACATCTCCGGGTTTTAGACGTCTGCGTTAAATCGCACATTTTAATGAAAACACTATCGCCGATACTCACATCGCGATTGATAAAGAATCCATTTATGTGATTTTGTGGTAGATACGAACACATTAGCACATAGTTTCTGTGCGACCGTGAGGCAGGCAGGGTTAACGTGATTCAAATCCTCCTTTATATTTCTGACATGTTCCTGGCATCTCTCAGGATTCCACAGTAATGACGGCATCAGATTAGGTCAGTTATTTTTTCATATTCATTAAGCTGGGAAGTTAAGTTAATCCTGTTCATGAAAATTTCAGCTGCTTTTCCTCCTTTTTTACAAATTTTTGTCACATCCAGTGACTTGTTCCTGTTGCTTTGACCTTTGCTCTCACTGCTATTAGTCACTTTGCAATGTTTTTAGTGCAGGAATGTGGGACTGTTTCACTGCTGTAAGATGCTCTGGATAATTAACATCTAATGCAACGTGGACACTCATGTCTCATATTTCAGTAAATGCTTCTGACTCTTCCTCATCTTTTCTTTCTCCATCAGCTCGTCTGCAGTAAAACGCAGACACGGAAAACAATTTCACTTTTTTTTTTTTGCAAGAATTTCCTACTTTTGTTTTCCTTGTCGACTGCTCTGCTCCTTCTAAAGTATTAGCCAGTGTTTTTGGTAACATACTTTACTGTTTTCGTTCTGTCTCACAATGAAAACACTCATTTATATTCATTTGGAATTGAGTGGGTGAGAGACAAAGTGGACTGGTAGCGAGATACAATCAGGCGCTGCTCTGCAACCGGGATGAAGTGGAGGTTTTGAACGAGCTACAAAGTCCGAAC